TATAATTATAAGCTATTTTACCAAACATTATTATTGACTAGGCTTTTTAAACAAATCCCCCATATAAGTTCGGTGTTCGATTTCAATAATAAGTAGATTTGAATGGTTTCATTTACAAAATAAAGGAAGTGTAGTTGGTGATTCGAGTATTAAAATACATGGAACAACCCAACACCAAACCTACTAATGAGTCGTAGTGGCTTTACTCTATAGTTGTTTCCACTGGATTTAGTAGAGAGTAATAAGACAAATTTATTTATTTCCCTTGTATTTTCACATTTATTTATTATCAAATATAATTATAGAGGAAAACGGGTTTTGGTGTTGATTCGCCTCCCTCTAAGCCTCCGAGGTTTGATGTGGAGTACAAGTCACCTTAATTGTCTTTGCCGGTAATCATTTGGTGGTTGACCAGGGTTTTTTCTCGGGCTATCGACTTCTTCCTTGGATGACAATTCCCTTCTCTTACACATTGAATCCCACACAACTCTCTCACCTTAGCACATAATCGATGATAAGGGCATCTCATAGCTTGATTGATGCATGGTTGGAAAATTATAGGTGGCCGTACTATAAACAAGGAGAGTCAATCCGTCAAGCTTCATTTGATTTGGCGTACACAAAAGCAAATTATTGTGGGGCAAAAGGAAAGATTCGATATTTTCGTGTTTAATGAGGGCCACGGTTGTGTTAGTTAGCCCTGTTGGCCCCCATTTCTTACAATTCATCTTTCTCGAAACTCAATTTTATTAACATATTTTGTGAGACCCACAACTTTTATTAACTTTTCAACAACGTATTTTATCAACTTTTATTAAAATTTACTAAAAATCTAATTTTAATCTAACCAAATAGGGGACTAGACTTGGGGATTTGGCAAACTCGTAATTTTAACCATTGTTCTTTCTCAGTTAAAGTAAGCAATGTTCTATTGGTTCTAGATAGTGAGGTCTGTGCAAGACAGAGGGATGAGACGATCGAGGTCGTGGAAGCTGTTGACATGGGCGGACCTTGTATTCATGTTCAGGTAAGAATAGATATAACCAGACTTTTAAAATGTGGCATTAGGATTTTTGTTGAAACTTCAGAAACTAAAATTGATCTTTTACTTCAGTATGAAAGATTACAAGCATTTTGTTTTGCGTGGCTTAAATGGACAGGTAAAATACCCCAAGTGTCACACTGTGTTCCCACTTGTCGTCAATCTTTAAAATGTTTTCGACTTGCTAGTGAATTTATAAAAATATATCTCACATATGTCGCTCTGTCATTCTTTTATTGAAAAGTTAACGAACTTGAGACATGATAGGCGAAATTTCACACGTGACATGGGTTAGATGTTGCTTGTGTCATGTCACCTAAATCCTGAGTAATGTAGAATAATTGAAGCTTAAAATCTGCTTAGTTAATCAAAAACGAAAAAAATATATAAAGAAAATAAATTTTGAAAGTAACACACAATTATTAGCCACGTTCACAAACCTCAAACGCCCAAATTATAACCTAGGGTTACTCATCCTTCAATTGAATTTGAGTAGTCGAATGGTACTCCCACATCAACCCAAATATGGGTCGCTATGGACAATTTTGGACACAATATCCCAATTCAACCCAAATACGTGTGATCCAATGTGACACCATCTTCCGGAGCACGTAAAGGATAGCATCACACTCGCTTTCAAAACTTAAACTGACAAATAATAAAGTTGTTGCAGTCTTTAATTAAAATTAACTTATAGGGTCTTCAATGGCTTTAACTAGTAAAAAAAAATTAATTAAAGTTAAATACGTTTTTCAAAACGCTATTCATTTCTACTAGTTATTTTGTTTATACACAGTTTCATAGAAATGCACACCCTAACTTTGTAATGGATCAGTGATTACACTTTTCTATTATTATTATTATTATTATTATTATTATAAATAAGATAAAAAATTATTAATAATAATAATTTACTCAAACGCAATTTAAGTTGATTTTAGCTCACCTTGAGGATAGAGATGTTTACATGGTACCTGCCACAACTCTTAATCTTTGTTTTATTTTAATATTTTTAATTTTTAATTACTTTGAAAAAAACTAATAAATATGTAAATGGGATGACAAGGCAGAAGATGTGATACTTTAATCCCAGTATCTTGCCATTCTAAAGCTCTCCAGACATGCTGCTTGATTGATACTTTAATCCCATTATCTCTTCAAATATTCTTAAAAAATTGAGGAAATTAGGACCCAATAAAAAGACGGTGATTACGTCTAAAATTATTACCGTTAAAATTTTCAAAATCAGCACCTAAGCAATATTACCGTTGACATTTTAAAAAATTAGCACCGACTAAAATTAGGACCCAATAAAAAGACGGTGATTACATCTAAAATTATTACTGTTCCGTGCAACCTATAGAAATTGTAATGAATCCGTGATCGCCACCTTTTTATTTTTTATTTTCTACTTATAAACAGAAAAACATGATTCATTTATAATAATAATTTAATCAAACGCACTTAAGTTGATTTTAATTTAAAAAATATTTTAGAGGATACATATGTTTACATGGTCCTTGCCACAACTCTTAATCTTTATTTTGTTTTAATATTTTTTATTTAAATTACTTTTTTAAAAATAAATAAATAATTAAATGGAACAGCAAGACATAAGATCTTAACGACACATACATAAGAATCATAATTGCTTATAGTATCTTGGGATAAAACATTAAAATCCACTACCGTTTACTGACTAACCTATAACGAAGTATGTAAGTTATTTATTTATTTATTTATTTGTTTCTCAAATTCTCTTCAAATATTCTAAAAAACTTGAGGAAATTAGGACCCAATAAAAAGATGGTGATTACGTCTACAATTATTACCGTTAAAATTTTCAAAATCAGCACCTAAGCAATATTACCGTTGACATTTTCAAAAATTAGCACCGACACTCCTACATCTAAAATTACTACCGTTAAAAATTCTAACTTCGCACCTCTCTCTCCCTCCCTCCCTCCGAAAACACTCTGTAAATTTCTATTGAACTCTTTCTTGTCTTCAAACTAACAACGCAGCGATCAAATTTTTCTCTCCTTCTCAGCCATGACAATGTCTAACAACAATCTGGAGAAGAAAACAAAGGGTCGGCGGAAGATCGAAATTCAAAAAATCAACAATAGAAACAGTTTACAAGTTACCTTCTCCAAGAGGCGAACGGGTCTTTTCAAAAAGGCCAAGGAAACGAGCCTATTGTGCGGCGCAAATGTTGCAATCCTCATCCAATCTCCAGGGAACAAGTTTTTCACTTTTGGCGAACCCTCGGTGGAATCCATTCTAAACCGGTACCAATTTCTTGACGATTCCTTTTCTGTTGAGTCGAACCCGACTGCCCACAATCTCGTCGTTGAAGAAAAAAGTGAAAATGGTGAGGTAACGACGGAATTTTGGTGGCAGAATGAAAACTTGGAAACTATGGAGTTGCAGGAACTTGAAGTTTTTGGAGAGAAATTGAACGGACTAAGAGAGAACTTTTTGAATCAAGTAGTGGAGATGGAGAAACAAATTCCTTCAGTTTCTTGGCCGATGATTCCAGTTCCACAAGAGGGTTTTAACGCAGATTTTGACGCTGTATGAATTTTGAGTTACGCATTACGTATACAAGTAGACAGGATTAGATTTTAAATTTTTGAATGCTGTCTGATGTCAATACAGGTTGACAACTTAACCATTCATTTGTTTTTTCGATGACGATCGATTCTATTTTTCGTGGAAAGTTTTGATTGATTTAGCATAAATTCTTTGTTGTTTCCCCTGTTTTCTGATTGGAATTAATAAAGTTCAGTTTGGCAATTTGATATAATTGACTTAGGATTACGTAGTATTGGGCGAAAATATTAAGTTTTGGTGTGAGTTATGATAATGGTTTGTGTACTCTTAGCAGTTTTTGATTCAGAAATAAGTTTCAGATTTTGTGATGATTTTTGTATTTTTGTACATTCTCCTTAAACTGTCAGCAAGATTTGCAGTAAGGACATCTTCTTGTATGTATTACACTTTCTCGATCAATACTTAAATTCATGGATTAGCAAGAGGCATTAATTGATAAAAGTTATCACTTGATGAACATATAAGCAGACAAAATTTATCCAATTGTAGTGAATGATAAGTTATCCAATTTCAGACTAGAAAGCCTTGCCGTTGATGGGATTTATAAAATGCTCATGACCCTTATTGAATATGCAAGCAATAGCACGTGGACAAAGAATCCTAGTTTAAGTCCCACATTTGGCGTGCACAAGTTCTTTCCTCCAAATCTACCATCCCAAGGTACATTCACCTGCATTCTCCATATACCTTTCTAAAAATGTCACCAAGCGTGTAATACGGTTGCAAACAACATTTGTGACAGTTTATCCATTTTAGGTACGCAAATAATAACATGACAAGAAAGTTTGCCACAATAATGGACTGTTATAAAAGTGATGTAACAAAGATAAGCAACACACAAGCACAAGATCAATAATGTTCGTTGATTTATAATAAGAATATTGACTGAATATTGGACCAATTTATGGAGAAACACTATAGAACACAATAGGAACAATTTCGAAGTATTTCGTTAATATTTATTCATGTACACAAGCTGATTTTTAAGAACAAGTGCATTTTGAGTACTCGACTAAATTAGACACGATATCTCTAAGTACTACTCAACTTCACTAGAAAACATGTGATGAATCTTCGAACATCTGACTTTTATTTAACAAGACTTGCTGTTGCTCACAACCTTTTGTGCTTCCTAACAAAGTTTGCTGTATTCATCACAATCGCAGTCGAATGAATATGGATTCAAGCCAAGCACAATGCTGCACTAAACGAAAGGGAAGCTTTCCACCGCCTTCCGGATAAAAGAATTGCGCAAATGCTGTTGATACAAGTGCAGCCACTATGAGGCAATTTTTCCAAGCTTGAAAAGTTTTCACGGCTCTCCAGCATCCCTTGCAGTGAATCACATGCCAGATATATCTGTTAACACATAATTTAAATAACTAAATTTGTTTTTAGGATTCTATCAGAGCAAAAGGTCTTATGTTCAAGTCTTGACATCACTCGTTTTTGGCGTTTGATACAATAATGAATTCAGCTGGGCACTTGTTAGAGCATATTAAAGATATTATATATAAAATTAAGTGTTCCCTCCATAACATCTGCTGTTAGATGAAGAGGTTCAACAAATACCTATTTCCGAAATTCGGCACATGCATAGTTCTGATTCCACCTTTTGCAGGTTGAGAAGCCGAGATAGTTGCAGCAAAACCAACAGGAGAATGTTCAACTGCATGCGGATCTTTTGGCAAGGAAATTGTGTTGTGTCCAAAATAATAAGGCATTCCATGCCCCCACTTTGTCCATCTATTTCCTATACTCAGCCACCCATGTGTCTGATGACTTCAAATTGATATAGAGTTCTCTTGTGGGGACTTTTTCTTTCATCAAAATCTGATTCTGGGAGCAAAGGAAACCCATGTCTTCGTCAAAAACCTTACACGTGTTCTGCAGCCAGTACCTGTTAAAGACATAATTTTAACAAATAAGTTTGTCACATATCTCTAAGTAATGTTTTAGACAAGTTAGTTTATTATAGTACAAAAGCAAAGAGAAGTAAAAGCTTGTTTGGGAAGTGCTTCTAAACGGTTTAAATTATAAATTGACAGAATGAGTAGTGAATAAATAGGTAGTACACTTGTGGATCCCTCAAAATGTATGAAATAAGTGTTTATAAACAGTTAATTTCACGTGTCAAGTCGTTCATGAAAACATAGATATGGCATGCATGCTAGAGGTGTATTGAACACATAATTTGAACAAAGAAGTTTATAGCTTCACTAGTAGTTTATGATTTTAGATGTTTACATTACCATTCAGGAATAAGTTCAAACAGCCATGACGGTTTCATTGTGCTTCCAAACCTCGAAATGATCATGGCTTTTCCCTGTCCTGCTGGTCAACAAAGGAATATCCCTGAACGGTAATGCTTTTAGCCACTCTTGTCAACAATTTCTCGGTGGTTCTGAATCACATAAGGTGCTTCAAAACGTAAAAAGTACAGTATGTAGTTTGGAGTAAACCGGTCTTTTTAACTACCCCAAATGCCTGCAAATCCTCGATCTGTTCTCTCAGTCACCTCGAAAAATAATGCTGCTGACTCTTCCCTTTTCGCAGTAATAGCAGTCCTATCGTGTGAAATAGGAATATAGGCAGGATCCATCAGGTTTTCTCAAAAGGATTGTGTGATCATACTGGAGTTCATGGGTTGTTGAAATATCTCGAAATCCTTCTCTCAAAATTTTCAAAGAAGGCTATTTTCTTGGTACTTGGTAGTCTTTTTATGAGACATCCATATCCATATAACTCCTAGGGAGTCCCTCACTTCATATGATTTTGCACAAGCTGATTCTGGAATTTTTGCCCCTGCAGGAAGCTGTATATTTTGAGAAAGAAAATTAGACAGGAATCATTTCTTGATCCCATAAAAATTTTAAAGTTAAACTACAGTTTATGATTCAATAAACCTCGACGTGTTGGAAATCATGAGTTCGAGCCTGATGAATTTGAGCAGACAAATTCAATACAGACATAGCTGGGGTATTGTGACACATCTGCCATTCCCTTCAAATTGCCAACCATGGCACAAACATTCTAGTTT